CCTGCTGAGAGAGACAGGACTAAAACTAGAACCAATTCTCCCTGCAGCTACTTCTTTCAGTGTGTTTAATATTTCTGATTGCAGTAAAAATTTCAGATTAGAATTGCCACAGTGACCTCTGCAATTATATATTTTTTTATGTTTATTTCCAAGTTATGCTTTGAAAAAGGTTTTAAGTGGGACTGATTAGAATTGAATATTTGAATTCCTGAATATTTTAGATGAAAAATCTTTGGCCTGCCATTTGATATACCAAATGTCATCTCTGCCCCATGTATGTCACTCTGTGAAATGAAGTGTGACACGTCAGTTTCTTTTGTTACCTCTAGAAGTTCAGAAAGTTAATGACTGGCACATATGCATGAATTCAGGATTAAGGATGCAAAGAAGGGATGTTACTTCAGTGCACACATTTTCCCTTAAAACCTGTCACTGAAACAACACCCTGATTTCATATCCACGGAACATCATTTGGCTTAAACTTTCAGTTTCTCAGTTTAATAATGAAAGATAATGCAAGGTTTAGCTGCTGGTAGTTGGAGGGGACCTGTTGGAGCTGCCCAGGGATCAGGTTATTAATCTCTTTTCTCTGGACATTTTAGAATTGGAGAAATTACATTCTGACCTCTGTGCTACCAAATTGATCTGCAAATCATATTCCATCTCAAATGGTTATGAATTAAGGATAAATGACTTTAAGACAATTACTATGGGTTCACCCTCTGTAAAAATTGCTGTTCACATCTAAAGCAGACATACACTATCTACTGAGGACCAACAGAAGCTGGCTATATAGAAAATGACTTCTCGAAAGCAGAAGGTATTTTCTCCTGCTGCAATTGCATGCATTATCACTCTTCAGTATTCGGTGTTGGGATAACTGTCTAGAAAGTTTTCCTGAACTGTAGAGCACACACAACCACTTCAACTAATTATTAACTTCAATAGGAGAGTTCCAGTGACTTAAGAGTTACAGAAGGCTTTAGAGGATACTTTTGAATAGCAGTGTTTACTGGATTCTTCATTTGTTACTTAAGAATAAAAATTCTATTATGAAGTTTTTAGAAGTGGGTCTAATTTTGAAATTCATGTTCAACTTCTCTTCTGTGGTACTTTGTATTAATTCCCAGTTAATGAAAATACCAGTGAAGCTGGCTATGGTAAGTGTAAATCAGTGAAAAGAGATGAAAAGTTGGTAACAGTAGGCCAGACAATCAGTGAGTAGCTAGAACTATTGGGAGCAAGTAAGAAACTGTAATTTAATTCCAAAATAAATATACTAAGTCTTATTAATGGGAAACTGTCAGTCATATACAAAAATGGCTTTAATATTCAGAACAGAATATATTTCACTTTTTTAAAGAAGCAGGTTAAGGCATTCCAGTCTTAAAAGATTGAAAGCAAAATATCTTTTCCTGCATATGTATCTAGGAAGAATATAAAAATCATATATACTACTACTACTAATGTGTCTTAAAAGTCACATTACAAAGTCAAAAACTCAGAATCTAGTTTATCACATGGTAGAGATTTCCTCTGGAGTTTCATTGCTGTATATCATCATACTCATCAAGAGTATCAAATAGATCTGGGTGCAGCAATTTTTAGACAGTTTGAGTAGTGCCTGCCTTTTCTTTTAATCCTATTGACGTTGAATATTTATGGAGTAGGTTGCTGTCTTGTGTGCACAGTTCCAGGACCCAGATGATACTTTGGAGCAAGCTATAAGCAGTACTTTGCATTTCTAGTCCAATTGCTACTCCTCAGCTAAGACAAGAGAAATTCCCTTCTTCCCTGTGTGCATCTGACTCACTCAGGGACCCAGCCTGAAATTCTGAAGTGCGATGTATCACTTTTATTGCAGTCTCTATTTTAACGTCTTCGTATAACCTTGTGAAGTTCAGCAAGGCCAGGTGAAGGTTCTGCATCTGGGTCAGGGCAATCCCAGTATTAATACAGACTGGTGGATGAGTGGATTGAGACCATCCCTCTGAAGAAGGACTTGGGAATACTGGTAGATGAAAAGTTAGACATGAGCCAGCAATGTGTACTTGCAGCCAAAGACAGACAACCATACTCTGGGATGCATCAGTGAAAAATGTGGCCAGCAGGTCAATGCAAGTGATTCCTGCTCTGCTCTGGTGAGACCCCACCTGCAGTGCCACATCCAGCTCTGGTGTCCTAAGAAAAAAAAGGACATGGATGTCTTGGAATGAGTCCAGAGGAGGGCCACAAAAATGACCAAAGGACTGGAGCACCTCTCCTATGAAGACAGGCTGAGAGAGTTGGGTTGTTCCACCTAGAAAAGGGAAGATCTTGTGACCTTTGATGCATAAATGGGCCCTATAAGAAAGATGGAGAGAGACATTCTACCAAGGCCTGTTGTTATGACAACAGTCATTGGTTATGAACCAAAAGTGACTGTATATGATATAAGGAAGAAATTCTTCACAATGAAAGTGTTGAGAGACTGAAACAGGCTGCTCAGAGAAGCTGTGGATGCCCCATCCCTGGAAGTGTTCAAGGCCAGGTTGGATGAAGCTTTATGCAGCCTGGTCTAGTTGAAGGTATCTCTGTCCATGTCAGGGGAACTGAAACTAGATACTCTTGAAATGTCCCAACCAAAACCATTCAATGAATTTATTACTCCATACAAGTGGACCAAATGCAAATGCCATGAACAGTCTGAATTACAAGAACTCGTGGAACTTTTGGAAGTTTTGTCAAATCTGATTTTGAAGAAAGATGGAACCAAGGTTAAAGTTTGGTAGAGGTACTCATAACTAAAATCTCAGCTTCAATGCTTAGCTGGAGAAAATCCTAGAAGTGACTGAAAACGGAGTTACTCAATGATTAATCATTAGACAGGCCTGTCTCATCACATCCAGTTTAAACTACCAGGTCAGTCTAAGTAGTCATAGTCCTTCCCCTGCTTCTCCAATATTGCTGTCAGATGAGCTCCACAGGGACAAGCATTTTAAAGAGTAATAGCATTATTATAATTTTTATTTTTGTATAAAGGTGACTATGAGGCAGCTTCAGTCCTGTTTTTCTGGAAGTACAGTACATTCAGTGTGTGGAATTTAGTCGTTAAATTACAGCTATGGAAATTTCCAAGGGGGAAGAAGCTAACAAAATAAGCAGTTTTGTCTGAACACTGTAGGAACAGTATATGATCCCACATCTATGCAACCAACTTTAGTGGAAAAGCAATTCTGAAATTAGGCCATTCAACAAGAAGCAGAATTTGTATTTAATTTTTGTATTTGACATCATAGACTAAGCTCTTTCTGTAGTAACTCCTTTGAGTCTATTCCTACTGATGTTTATTCATTATTTTAAAGAATGACAATGGATTTCTGCTAATGCTTCCTTCCAATTTAGAGCATTTTTAAACATCTAATTCTTCCACGTTGTCTTTTTAACTTCTGATACTTCTTCTCACTGTGCTTGTTTGTTTTTTTGCTCAGTTTCTACATTTTTTACCAGCCACTGCAATATTCTTGCCCCTCCATTTATCTTTGGAAAAACAAACTCCTAAACTGCAGGGCATTGGTAGTGTCTGCTTCTTATGGACAGACACCCAGAGATGCCTCAAATAGGCAGGCAGCAGTATTGATTGCTCGACATGTTTTGTTCTATATACAAGTACTATTAGGAGCTTTCAAAGCTGTTGAAGGAACTCTAATGGCTGTCTCAGCTCAGGAGAAACCTTCAACTTCTTATCTATATTTACATCCTCCTGCACAATTAGCCAGAAAGGTTAAGGTGGCAAATTTCACAATGGGCTTGCAGCAGATTGTTTGGTGGTGCAGAGTGTTTGCTCAACCTGTTCTAGGTTCATGCTCTGGGTTCATGCTGACTATTTCAGGTACTATTTGTATTGAGATACTATTTCCAGTTTATCAAGACTGGAAATTAATCTGAGAAGATCCAGGTGTACTACTTAGTAGATTCTCTGCAGAAATATGAATAAACTATATGTATTCTCTGAATAACTCCTTTCTCAGTGCTTCCTTTCTTCCCACCCTAGTCTTTGCTGAAGCATTTTCTGGCATTCCTGTAGTGTTGTTTGCAGGGTGAAAGCCAGGTTAGTTATGTCACAAAAGCTAAGCTAATCCTTGAGGTCTGCTTGGGCTCATGTTAATGGATTTTGTGTGAGAATGTTACAGATGTGTGAGCAAACAGACTGCAAAACACAATGCTGTAAATAAAGCTGCAGGCCTTGAGGGCTGCAGTGTTTCTCAGGCTGCCTTTATCCAGAGCCAGAGGGCTTCTGCAATTCATTTTGCTCCCACTTCCTCCTGGGGGCAGCTCTTTTTAAAGCAAATCAGGATAAGAGACCAGTAAGGCCTGCCTGAAGAGACCAGTCTGCTGAACTTCACGCCTGCAGTTAGGAAATGCAGAGTACGACAGCCTGCATGGTAGACAGAGACATCAGTCCTTATTTGAAAATAAGGGACAAAGATGCAGGCAAAAGTCTGTAGCAATAGCATCTGTTCATAAATTATACCAGGAAGAGCTACCTGCTAATGAGAAGTTAGATAGACTTCACTGGTTTTTATGGTGATGTTTTGCTTTTTCTAATTCTCTTCCTGATATAATTTTCTAGCATATCAAGTACTAATTATGAATTATAATTATGTGGCACTACTCTTACCCAACAGCAGCTCAGCCAGGATAGTATGAAATGAAACTGCAAGTGATTTCTCATTTAGGAGAATGCAATTTTCTGTGGGAGAATGTTGCCATATTTCAGCTGATGCCCTACACTGTTCTAGACAATCTTCTTTAGTTATTAGGTGATAAACCACTGTGCTGTTCCTTGTCAGGTTTCCACTATACCTGTTTGCAGACTCAGGTAATTATGTTCTTTTGTCTAATTGCTTATTTATGGATGTTTTGCTCACATGTTTTAGCAACTATTTGATTGCAGCCCTAATGGCAGGGTTCCCCTCTCATTATCACGCCATAACACCGGGTTTGTCTGATTGCTGCAGGTGGAAACAATAGGTGATGCGTACTGCGTTGCAGCAGGGCTCCATAAGAAAAGCCTTAGTCATGCCAAAGCCATTGCCCTGATGGCACTGAAGATGATGGAGCTTTCAGAAGAGGTTCTTACTCCAGATGGAAGCCCGATTAAGGTAACTCCTTTGCTCTTTATTCTCAGCTAGTCAGTGATACATGAACCTGATTCATTTTGTTGTATTCTGTGCCAGGGAGTTTACACTTGTGCATGGTATCCACAGATGTCTGCAGCTCTGATGGGCCACAGGCCTCTTCTCCAAATCAATGTGAACCTGCATAAAAGAGGAGTCTATGGTCTGCCTGCTCTTTCTCATTGTTAACGTGCTTCCTTCCCATGCTATGCCATTTCCGTCCCCAACTTTGGTACAGGGAGGGAAAAACAGATGTCCTTTTGTAACATTTTCAAGTTCCTCTGCTATTCTGCTTCTTTTGGTCCTATAACAACATATTCAAAAGAATACCCTTCTGAAAAAATATGTTGGACTATGCATCTTGAAAATTCTATTAAAGCTTCACGTGAACATTCATTGAACACAAAATAAGCATCAAAAACTGAAGATACCAGAAGACATAAAATTTTCAGTTTTGATATAAAACTATTTCAAACAGATGTTAATTTAATCCTACTGAAATATATTTTTTTTGATTGATTTTATTTGCTTTTCCAAAACCTATAGGCAATTAATATTTGCTGACTATACTAGTACAGGCTGGGAGAGTGTCTTCCAGAGCCACTTTGTATTTTCACTTTATTTTGAGTCATTGCTTTAATTGTAGGGAAATTTTGAAGGTTTATGTTTTACTCGGAGACTCACTTTTTGTGATGGTTTTCATTACCACACATTATTTTTCAGAAAATTCCTCTTACTTTCACTGTCTGCATAAGAAAACCTGTAAAAGAAAGACTATAAAGACATTGCAGAGGAAATATAGAATAGTATACTATTTTAATAAATATAGAATAGTATACTATTATAGTATACTATACTAACTATAGTATAGAATAAAATGATGGGAATGACCAAATATTTTCAAAAAGTGCTAATAAACGTCCTTTAGAATTCAGAAGGAAAAAAATCAGTTCATCATACTTAAACTGAAAGTAGAGGTACTGAGAAGCTCATCATAATTTCTTAATTGTTTTGTCTTCAGTTTTAGGTTTAATAGATTTCAGGGCAGGAAGGATGGTGATATTGTAGAATGTTGTTACCTTGGTACCTAACCTGGAAACTGTGCTTAAAAATAAAGCTTATCTTTCATAGAGGCTTATTCTGATTTGTTTTAAAATTTATTAAAATCAGGGTTCCTCACAGGTGGATATATTTACCCTGTAAACAATAAGGACTTTTGGAGAAGTCTACTTTAGTTTGTCCTAGTTTAGATGTCTTCTCTAGGATGAAATGAATCACTTCCTAAAAATGTGTACTTTTTCTGTTTTCTGTAAGGGAAATCTATGTACGGAACCTAAATGTGGTTGTCTATGCTGTGAGCTTCTACACTCTGTCACATGAGTACTCCTACAAGTGGCAAGGAATGCATAGTTTTTCCTAGTGGCTATGTCAATGATCATCACAGTTAAAAACATATTCATAATTTCTAAATTCAGTTGGCATGACATTTTCCTTCCAGAAAATGTTAAATTGGCTAGCGTGATCCCTATTTTTGTTAGTCGGCAGTTTCTTACATTAAAAAAAACATGAAGGGGCCCATTGTGCCACAGATTCCCATCAGCAATTGTTCCATGTGCATTAAAATGCCTTAAAGCAGCATCAGGGGAAGTTCAGATTGGATATAAGGAAGATGTGGTCAAGCACTTTAACAAGGTTCTCAGGAGAGTCATCATGGCCCCAAGCCTGTATTGGTTTAAGTGCTTGAACAGCTCTTAAGCATATGACTTAACTTTTAGGTTGCCCTGTGTGAATGTTTATGGAATATGTATTTTTTTAAATTAGTTTGATAGATAAATTTTGTTGTCATCTTAATGCTAAATTCACCAGAATGCAAGGATTTATTTTTTGTGATTCTTGAAATATTCATCCCTGTGATAGCAGTGGATATCCTATTAAGTGACACTTCCATTCTCAAATAGTTAGAATGAAAAGGTGAATGAATAAATTAAAAAAATACCATATCACATAAACAGGAATTTAGGATAAGATTTTTAAGTGCATTATAGATGAAGAAGCAAGGCTTGTTATGTGGGTACACAGTTACCATATGAAGGTATTCATGGTAGTGATCAGAAAAATAAATTGTTTGTACAACTATGTAGACTCTATGGAAAATCTGCCCCTTAGAGCAGTGCTAGCGTGGGCAGTGAGCAGTGATGGTCCTCAGGGTGGTGGCCAGGTGTATGAAGCAGGTCTGGTTTGTATCCAGATACTGCCCCCTGCTCTGAGTCAGGGCTCATAGCACGCTGATGAGAGAGCACCATGGTGTGCAGCTGACACCTACTCAGGCATTCGGCACTTCCAGCAGAGCCAGGGGCAGCACAAATGAATGAGCAGGATGGGGACTCTGTGCCTGCACTCCTTTTGCCTGTGTGAGCAGCCTGGGACTTGAAGGGTAATGAGAATCTGTTATTTTGCAGAAAGAGAGAGTGAGCTGTATTATAACAGAATCCACAAATTTTATCATCAGCATTGTAACACAGCCTGCCCTCTTACAAAGAAATATTTTTAACAGGAAATGGGCTGAACTCACCCTGCAAGTGATGGAGGAGGCTTCAGGTCCCTGTGTGATTTTTTTTAAACTCAGGTATACTAGAGGTAAAATCCCGTTACTTTAGAATGAGCTAAGGTCTTAGTACAAAAGAGGGACTTTTACTTCAGACACTTCATGTAGAATTCCATATACATTTTTATCCTTTCAGCATAAAATTTTACTTTGGAAGCACTCTTTTGATTTACATTCTGTACAACTATTTATATGTAGTGCTTTATGACTTTAGTCTGAAAATATTGATTTAAAATTGCCTCCTACATTTAAGTGAGTGTTACTTGAGTTTAGGATGTACTTCATACTTTACTACATTTTTTTAGATAAAGTGGAATTACATTAATTTTAATAGCTAGAGATAATGCTGTAAGAGGAATTTTTGATGGCATTGACCTTTAGTGAAAGGTTGCAGTGCAGATATGGAATTCTCAGAGAATATTATTACTTGGATAAATTTTTATCATGCTTCAAAGCTTACCTAATTAATCAGTGTGTGGTATATATCCCAAAGAAAGAGAAAGATCTCCTTTTCATTTTTTTTTTTCCAAAGGGCTGCTGTGACAGAACATACCTAGTTTCTACTAATGAGATTTCCCCAGAGAAAATTATCAGCTTATTTTTGTGGTGTATGAAGGTTTATGTAATAGGGTCATGAAGAGATAAGAACTGGGAACTCAGAGGAAAAATAAACTATTTACTTGAAGCTGCTGAAATTAACTACAATTATTTAGATTAATTGTGTGCAGGTGTTCCTGTCTAAAACATAATGGTTGAGCCCTACCACAGCAATTTGAAACACATTTCAAGATGTTTTCCTAAAGCAGAAAAATTCCATCTATATTTGAAATTATTTATGTTACTGTAACATGAGAATTAGACCTGTAAATACTATAATCTCAGGCTGAAGCAAATACATGCCCCTACCTTTCTTTTTGCTCACTTTCTAATGACTAGTTTGTGAAATACTCTAAACAGAGTAGTGCTGAACATTTCTAGCTGATACTGGCTTCAATGTGGTTAATTTATTCTCAGGTGAGGTAGATAGGACCTTGCATTTGCGTGGCAAATAATCTGGTATTTGGCTCAGTTGTTTCTTTATTATCAAGACAGAGTACTTGACACACTTGAAGCTTCTAACCTTTGGATGTGCATTGCCATAGCTATTTTATTATTGGATCTGTAGGCTGCACTCAGTGTAGGCACTAACATAATCTAATTTCAAACACTGACAGTGTGAACAGGTATGCCAAAACTTGTTACTGTAGCTCCCTCTTAAATGAAGAGAGTAAATTTAGTCTGTATTCATCTGAAATGCTTGCAGTGTCTACTATATAATGAAATATATAAATTAATATTTGTCAGGTAAGTCCTACCTCAAGAGTGAACAGGTTAATGACCTCGTAGGACAGATGATCCCACTGGAAGGAGCTGAACTGAAACAGAGATTTACAACTTTGGTCAGTCACAGCTTTTCCGTTTGAATTTTAGCTGTGATCCAGACTTTCTATACTTCAACTTTCCATATATGTTACGGTGAGCTCATGGACACCCTTTTGTCCCCCCTTTCCTAGGGCCTCTGTGGCTCTGATCATGATAACCCCTGAATCCTCCCTCCTGCCCCAACGGGGTTGGCAGGGAGCCAGGAGAGCCCACCCTGTCCAAAACCTATATTGACCCCTGAAACTTCTGCTCTTCCTCTTTTGCCCCACTCTCCATGGACACCACAGAATAAAGAGAGCTGTTCCAACTTCCCTGGGGTAAGAGCCTCTTTTGAATACTTTTCCCTCTCCTGGTATTTCCTCCCCTCACAGCCCCATATCTCTGAGCTGGTCGGATCCTAGAGGGGGCTGCGTGGAGGGGGGGAAAACTATAGAAAATACACATATATAGTTGACAAATAAAGCTTTATGGGTAGAACCGTTATTTTAGCATGTCTAAGATGTATGACCTTACAGCCATGCAGCTGCATTAGTTTTGGTTTATGTTGTCTATTTAAATACCTGTGATCATGGCAACTGAAACAATGAAAGCCTGAGTTTGATAAAACTCTAATCTCTGCTTGCCAAGTGGTAAATTTTAACTAGCATGAACTCTGACTTGTGAGTAAGGGCACAGAAGAGTCAAAAGGGCTCTGTAGATTTTAATGGCTTATGGCCACAGTGAGTGGCACACTTTTCTAAATAACATGGAAATGGACAATGAATTTTAGAGTGCATAGCATCTTCTGCTGGTTTATTAATTATTCCCCTTTCTATTTTAGTGATATGCCACTTGGGTCCAGGACCCGCATAGGAAGTGCCAACATTTGTTTGTATAAATGGGATTTCTATTTTCTAAGTGAAGGGGCTATTCTCAAGAACAATGAGAGAGAGCAGCAAGTATCATCTGTGTAATCCTT